TTGTTAATATATATAACACTCCAAATAATTAACTTTTCAAGACATTTGAAAATATTAACACACTTTTTCTTCCTCAAAGTCATCACTATGCTAAGAATTTCAGTTAGTTCAACTCATTTGCATTTAGAAATTTTATCACCGTCTGTATTCTTTATTTATATGTTTATTTTCTAGCTGTTGTTAATACTTCATGGTTATGCAATTATAGAGAAAGAAATCATTACATTTTTTTAAAAATAGGAAGGTACTAATAAATTTTATTCATCCCATTAGGTATCTAATCCCTGAAAAGAAGTGGGGAAAAATGTGAATTCAATTCATTGTAGCTCCTTCAGCAAATCTCCCATAAATGATAAGCTATAGACACTGCTATTGTTTCTTGTGGGATCAGATCCTTGACATAACAATTGTTGACAGACTTTATCTATAGATTTGATATATCATTGTCAAAGGTATGCTACTAAACAAAACAATCTACGTCTTTATCTCTCTGTCTCTCTATCTAAAAAATAAAAAAACCTGGATGCTTTAAAGCCATCCAATTTCAATTTAGGAAATTTATATGCAAAACAGGAAAAAAAGAGCATATCATCTAGTATATAACAAAAGCTAGAAATATCAACAAAGTCCTCTTTGAACAGGACAAACCTTTTCACATACACACACAGACACATCATATCTGTTTTTCCATTTGTATAAAAAAAGAAAAGAGAAAAAAAGAAGAAGAAGAAAAAAACAAAAAAACATGGAAATGGACACAGAATACCAATACTTTCCCTGCCATTCCTACCTTTCGTATTCCACAAGGACGTGCGAGTGTTGTTTACAAGGCGGCAGTAACCATCAATCAGGTCTGCAAGGCTCTCAGCAGCAATAATGCTTGGGCACGTGACTGTCAGCGCCTCTGCTGTTCCTGCCACCTTCAGGATGACAGCCAATGTCAAAGGTTATTCATGGTCAAACAATTGTTTTTTCTTTTTTAGGCACAATGATCCAGAATTTAATCAAATGAAATTAACAGAAAGAATGATGGATGAACAAAGAACAAAGATTTGAAAAGTAAGGATAATAATTTTAAGAAAAGTTGGAAAATAAAAATAAAAAGGTGGTGAGTTTCAAAAAGAAATTCAGAAGCAAAGAGAAAAATATAACAAAACAGAACAGTAATAGGAGACACAAGCCAACCTACCTTGAGTTGTACAAGGGCCTTGCGGTGGGTATCACAGTCTGTGGTTAGTGTCTCTACACTCTGGACTTGTTCAAAGCTTGCCATGTGGTGAGGCTGGAAAGACAATACCAAGAATGCCAATTGACACCAAGCCTCTTTCATAAAAGAAATCCATTTAAGAAGAAAGCAATGTTTCTATACATTATATGTGCAATACTTTATAAAAACGGTATATGACTCATTACAGAAAAATCTTACAATGTAAATATACTAAAAGGTAACACAAAAGTTTCTTAGAAATCTAAGCTTCAACTCTACCTTTGATGCAGAATCTGTAGTGTATGAGATCCCAACTGAGGGGCCCACCAACAGGGTGACTGGAATTGACCAACCAGACTGGAAAATGAAAATAAAAAATATTAATACATTCACTTAACCACAATAAGATAGAAAAAAGATCAAGATTTAACAAAGCAGAACTAACAAAATAGAAAGAAAAAATATATGACATATTTACAATTTCCTGAGTGCAATTTATGTGAAGTCAGCTGAGGAAAAGAAGTTCCTTTCACTTTAGAAATCATATAACAATATTTCCTTATTTTGCAAAGAAAAAAGAAAGGAAAAAAAAAAAAAGGAATAAAAGAGAATGAAAGCCAAAGAAAAAATTAGAATCTGAGCACACTTACCCCAAGAGCACATCGGAAAGACTCCTGGTCATATTTCCTGCCTTTGCCTAACAGTTCTAGGAATTTGAAGAAACACTCAGACTCTGAAAGCTGGCCATACTTCTTGAAGTGTTGCTGGAGTGACTTGCGCAGTGTTTTGGGCTTGACTGTGTTGAGGACTGAAGATGGAAGGAATTTGTGCAGGCCAACGTCCTTCTCTAGAAACTCTAGGTTTGATTTCTTCTCCAGGGTGCTCCCATTCATGTCCTAAAATATTTTTTGGAGGAAAAAGAAAATGTGCATTGGTCATAAATAATGTCATTATGTCTCCAAACATGAGGAAAGAGTCTAGTTGTAGAACACAAGAGAATGTTAACTGCAATAAATATTTGCGAAACAAATTATTGCAAAACATGAAAATCTTTTGTAACAGGAAAACGCACCTTAAACATTCGCTTAATTTCAATACAAGCTAGTTGAATTGCTGATTCCTGATCAATGCCTTCGTTTCCTCGGCCCTCGTCTTCCAAATAGTCATTTTTCACCTAAAACCAAGGAGAAAAACAAGATAATTGATTACATATAATAATTGCCAACTCCATTCACCCAGACAAAACAAAAACAGAAATCTTACACATGAGCACAGTGACAGAATGATTCTCACCTGTTCATAGTAGTAGCAGAATGTAGTGCGGTCTTTGTCATAGAGTTGGTGGAGGTCTGAAAGGACATAGCGGACACGGAGCTCGAATCTCCACTCCTCACTCTGGTAATCTGGGAATTTCTCTTCAACCTGAGGATTGTTTATTTATTTAGCAATAAAGCAGCAACAGTCATAGTGTAATTTAAATAGAGAGAAAGGAAGATATGATGAGGGAGAGATGTGTAGCTGCATAAATACAAAGACAATTAATACCATAACTTCATGTATGCAATATATATGAAAATAACAATAATAATAATAATAATAATAATAATAATAATAATAATGATATCAATATTTATAATAATAATAATAATAATAATAATTATACCAATATTTATAATAATAATAATAATAATAATAATTATAACAATATTTATAATAATAATAATAATAAAATACACACAAAAAAAATTACAGCAACAAGAAAAGTACTTTTAACAAATATGGTATCTAAGCTTATGTATAAAAAAACAACAAAAAAAAACAATGCTTCCAAAGATTCTGCATTTCTAGCAAAGTGTATGAAAGATATTAATCAAAGAAATTAAGACCAGTTACTGACCTGGTACATAGTAAGATCTTGATGCAGCCAATGGAGTTCCCCTGTGATGGTGTTGCGAAGTCTGATGGCAAACATACTTTCATATGGTCGTGGCCCTGCGGCCTGTCTGCCAATGACCACATTGATTATCCCCTGAAAACAAGAATGCTATTAGATCAATCAAAGTAAATCCAGTAATGTTAAAAATATAATAATGAAAGCACAGAACCATAAGATAAGTAGACAAATAATATATATATATATATATATATATATATATATATATATATATATATATATATATATATATATATATATATATATATATATATATATATATATATATATATATATATATATATATATATATACATATAAACAAGAGTCACTCGACATTTTACAACAAAATACCAAATCTCACTTTAAAAAAATGATCATCCAGACTTTGTACATGTGCTTACATTACTGGCCATCATGAAATGTAAAGAGAAGAGTGACTATTTCATTTTCAGGAGAAATAAGAAAGTTGAAGTAAAGGTATGTTCTAATGCCTGCAGAGACACCATGAGAACAAATTCAGATTTCCATAAGAAAACAAATAGAGACATTGATATAACTAAAAAAATGCTTGAGCCTCCATTCAAAGATAAAACATGAAAACATAAAATGTACCATATCACGGCTCATGAACACCTATACTGCACATGCTCTTACATCAGAAGACAAACAATATGACTTACTGAATTACCACTGAGTAAATGACACATTAGACTGCAACTCATGATTTTCAAATGAACAAATGAAATTCAGTAAGGGAGAAGAAAGAACACAGGAAGAAAGTTTCAAATACAAACAATGGAGGACAGCAAGCAACTACATTCTCTTGTTCTGAACTGCAGCTGGCATTGTCCGATAAGTGTATCAAATATCATTATCATCACTGTTGCCTTCATGCAAGACTCACTTTAATAAATTAGCACACTTTATATACAGGCAAAGTTCATCATTTTATACAGCAAATAACTTGAAAGCTGAATATAAAGCACAGCAAACTTGTGCTACTCCAAAATGGCTTATAAAAATATTTACCATAACCCCGCAAAGCAAGTCTGTGCTCCGTACAACACATCATTGAGCCCAATAGATATACATGTATTAACAAATATTAAAAAAAGAGATGGCACTCGTTTGTACTTAACACAGACATTCTCTTTCTCTGGTAATTTCTAAGGATCCAAACTCGTGCTATGTTTAAATGATGTGCCTACTAAATGCCCTGCTCAGCAACAGGTTTCTTAAAAAAAAGTATTTCTGATACACACCCAGTGCTATAAAATCTCCCAAATGACACCACAGTATGCTTGCAACTTAGTAAACACATCTTGGACAGGATACTGAAGGAACTAATGACAGCAGCAGCCATGCAATTGGCTGCTGCAATGCTGAAACAAGATGCTATTTATTCAAGCCCACAAAGAATAAAGCCAAGCCAATAAAAATCATAATCATAATAAAAAATATATAGACATTTAAATCAATAAACAGACGCATGATTTTGGAGCTGCAATATCCAGTATCTTCTCATTCAATTACACTTATATATACTGTACATACACTGTACAACAAGCACAGAATTACCTTAATGTTTGGTTCCTTTGGGAGAGAAAAAATGGAAAGGATATTAATTTGTTAGACTAAAATATTCACATTTTTCTTTGAATTGAAGAAAACCAAAATCAAAATAAAACAACAATTATTCTCTCTCTAATTCTCACTTCTTACACACTAACTTTTTCTCTAACACTAACTCTAATTCCTCTCTCTCTCTCTCTCCCTTTTTTTCTCTCTCTCCCTCTCTTTCTCTCTCTCCCTCTCTTTCTCTCTTTCTCTCTCTCCCTCTCTTTTCCTCTCCCCTTTCTCTCCTCCTCTCTTTCTCTCCCCTCTCTCTTCTCTCTCTCCCTCTCTCCCTCCCTCCCTCTCTTTCTCTCTCTCTCTCCCTCCCTCCCTCTCCTTCTCTCTCCCTCCTCTCCTCTCTTTTCTCTCTCCCTCCCTCCCTCTCTTTCTCTCTCCTTCTCTCCTCCCTCCTCTCCCTTCTCTCCCCCCTTCCCCCTCTCTCTCCCTCTCCCTCTCCCTCTCCCCCCCCTCTCTCTCTCTCTCTCTCTCTCTCTCTCTCTCTCTCTCTCTCTCTCTATATATATATATATATATATATATATATATATATATATATATATATATATATATATACACACACACACCAATTATTTCCTTCCTCACTCCTTCTCACTCAAAAATGATAAAAAAGAAAGCAGACAGAATTATTTTATGTCGGCTTATGTCCTGATTTCGCCAAGCAACAAAAGAAAGCCTCCTGGCATTAGATTTATGAACTATGTTGTCATGTAATATGTTCCTGAATGTTTTATTTTTTCCTTTTATAGAATTACCAGCATTTAGAAATAAATCAGCTGTCTTTGTGGCTTTATATTTTCAAACATAAAAAGATAAGCAGAAATATGTAATTGACTTTTTGGTTAATGTTTCAGCAAACACATACACACAGACAAGTATACAGTACACACATATATTAAATGTAAAATTCTTGAAACATCAAAAGACAGAAAAACATTTACACTGTTATGGCAAAAAACTTATATCAGTTTAAAAAATAAAAAAATCAGGCTGTCACATTTACCTGCAATTATATATATATACTGGATATGATTATCATTGTTTATATATTTATTTATTTATTTATTCAAATATTTATTTGTGTGTGTGTGTGGGGTGTGTGTGTGGGGGGGGTATATGTGTGGGGGTATATGTGTGTATGTGTGTATGTGTGCGTGTGTGTGCGTATGTGTGCACATGTGTGTGTGTGTGTGTGTGCGTATGTGTGGTGCGGTGTGGTGTGTGTGGTAGGTGTAGGTGTAGGTGTGTGTGTGTGTGTGTGTGTGTGTGTGTGTGTGTGTGTGTGTGTGTGTGTGTGTGTGTGTGTGTGTGTGTGTGTGTGTGTGTGTGTGTGTGTGTGTGTGTGTGTGTGTGTGTGTGGTATGTTTGTGTGTGTGTGTGTGTGTGTGTAGGTATGTTTGTGTGTGTGTGTGTGGGTATGTGTGTGCGCGTATGCGTGCATGTAGCTATAGGTATGTATATGCGTGCAAGGTCTATATAAGTACTTATACAGACCTTGTATGCGTGTACAACCCGCATCCACGAGCCCACATCCCCGCACGTCCCCGCCCACCAGCACCAACCCCGCCCACAAGGACTCACCTTGACATCCGTTCCGTCGCCGAATTTGACGACGTTGAAGGAGGTGTTGAAGTGCACTTTGATGCTCTTCTCCGGCCGCTCCGGAGACCCCAGCCGCGGCGACACCCCCACGCCTCCATTTTCCTGGGCGAGAAACGGGGAGGTGAGAGGTGAGACATTTTCGGCGTTCGTGAAGCTGTTAATTTAGGCCATAGGAATCGAAGTTGCTGTTATGCGTCACCCGCCCGCAGGTCCCGAAGACGCCCGCCAAAAAATGTCATCATTTTCAATAAATTTTTGTATTCCTCCCAAAATATTTGATGATTTTGGAAAGCTGTTCTCTTGTCATACTTTTCAGAGCGCATATTTTACTAGTAAATATGAATGAAAAGCGTCATGATTACCCACAAGAACTAAGATGATTCGATGACTTTGAAAAGCTGCTGTTCTCGTTTTCAAATGCTTAAAGAAATAATGAAAAAATAGCCTCATCAGTTTTCCTTTTTTGCCCGGACGCAAAACGGGGACTTCCCCTCTTGTGGCCTAAGGTGTGTTGTGGTTGGTTTGGGATGTGGAAGACCGGCTGGAGAAAGGGGATTTTGGCCCTTCTGCTTTTCTGGTCTTCTAATAGTTATTGCAAAGCAGACTGGGGTGAAAAAAAAATAGAAAGAATAAAAAAGTCCGTTAAAAACGTAAAATATCGCTGCTTCATAAGAGCGACTAGTAACAGTAAAAATACAGGCGTTCAATAATAGCTGGACAAAAAGAAGAGAAATACCCATGAAAATGAAATTAGCCACAATGAGAAACGATTATTTTCATTTCTCATTGTGGCTAATTTCATTTTCATGTGTAAACGTTTCTGTGCTTGTGCTTGTGTCCAAAAATGTCCATCCCTTACAGAGTACATCCCCTCCCGATGGAAGAAGAAAAGTCGGACATAAAGCCAAAGGAAGAAGATGGAGACGAGTAAAGAAAGGAAGAAATGGACAGAGCAGAGCGCGGCCGGCCCTCACCTGCGACACGGCGGAGTGGTGAGTGAGGTAGGAGTGCGGTCGGTCGGGCGGCAGCGCTGGCGGGTGGCCGCCCGGAGGAGGAGGGTGGGGGGGCGGGCATGCCGCACCCGCTGCTCATGATGGCGGAGGAGGGCGGGGGAGTCGAGGACCGAAGTCCTGCGGAGGATCCAGTCGACGGAAGAATGCTCAGCCCGCAGCCCAAGCTCTCATCCTCGCCCCTGGAAACAGCGGAGAGGACCTGTGTTACATTTTTTTTTTTTTTTTTTTGGGGGGGGGGTCACAGGGTAATAAAGGTTTGCCTTTAAAGAGATGGCACTGGGGATAATTAATGAAATAAACTGACATGCGATGCAACAACACAAAATAATATCCATTACCAATAACGGTATTATTTAAAGATATTAACGATAATAATCATATGGAAAGCATAATGCAAAGGGAAAGGCGACTTAAATAGTAAAACTCACATATCAAAACTCAAATATCAAAACATGAAGTGGAAAAATTTGTAATCAGTTACACCAAGTATGGTAAGAATCGTCTATGCATATAATAAGTGAGGAAATGATAATGATAATGATGATAAATATAATAACAAAAGCAACAACAATAACAATAATAAATAATACCAATACATAACAACACCATTATAGAAGAGAGGCACAACAGCAGCAGTAATATCATAACACAATACCGACTCCCAGTGAGGAGGCAAGCCTCGTCGCGAGCGCCGCGCATCCCGCCCGCACGACTGGGCGGCCGACTGACTGACTGACTGACAGACTAACTACCTGCGTGGTCGCGCCGACGGCCTGCCCGGGAGGTCGTAATCCACCAGGATCTCGTCAAGGTCAACGAAATCGTCCTCACTGGATTCCTCCGCCTGCAGTGTGCGCATCCTGTGTTCTGCCTCCAGCGCCCTCATCACTTCCTCCAGGCTTTCCTCCTCGTAGGAACTGGCGTCCAGGGTCTTCATCAGGGCCGGCCGTTCGGTGGCCGGTTTCCTGGAGACCGCAGGGCCCGGTTTCCGATGCCAGTGGTGGCCGTTTTCACAGCCGGTTGTCTTCGGTTGGCGGTTAGCTCGCGTGGTCTGTAGCACCCCGCTGCTAGCAGCATCGGCGCTCTTCGCTCGCGAAGTCTGGGCCCTGGCGTACATGTGGGGCGCGGACGCCGTTGCCGCACCCCTGTGGGACCTCTTCTTGGCCTCCTCGGCCGGCGGGGACAAGTTCCTCTTCTTGGGCAGCTGAGGAGCCACGGCCGACCTCGCCATCAACTCGTCGATGGCCACAGATATGGGTCTCCCTGGCTCGTCGTACTCCAGGAGGTACTCCTTGATGTCCTTCCGGCCGGTGTCGTCCTCCGCGTCCTGCTCCCTGTCCACGGGGATGTACAAGGCCGTCGGACGGTTTTGCAGTCGGTCCCGCTCGCGTCGCACCGACTGCAACTGCTCGTAGGTCTCGACAGCCTTGCGCACGGACGGCCTCCTCTCGAGGGCGGCGCTCGCCGGCTGCGCTCCCTCCTTCGGTTTCTCCGTCTGCACTCTCTGACTCGCACTCGCTCGTCGAACACTGTTTCTGGCAAAAGAATTTTCCTTGCTTGTTGCACTGGGACATTTGCTCACCTCTTCTTTGCTCGCCTTCATGCTACTTCTACACTGATCACAGTAACTATTCATGCCACACTTGCACTGCTGGAGGAGCTTCGTCTTTTGTTTCCCCGCGCCCTTGTCACCGCCAGTCTGGATCCGTGCGTACTGCAACTCCGAGGGGCCAGACCCTGCCCTCGTCTGGCCACGGGAACCTTGTCCTCCAGGTTGGCTATTCGCATCCCTAAGAACTCTGGTCGAATGGTTCCTCTGCAGCGCCTGCCGCGACTCCGCTGACTGCCTCCGCCATGACCTGCTCACGGTGCCTTCGTCGATGCTTTGCGGTCTGGCCGAGTCGCCGCTGCTCCTTCCAGGGGTCGACGGCGTCCCCCTGCTCCTCCACGAAGGTTCGGGAATGTGTGATGGCCCTGAATTCGTCTTGGACCGAATACTACTGCGTTCAGAAGGCGTCCGCTGAGAGTCCCTGACACTGGAGCGCCTGAAGAAGTGGAAGGGCGTCGTCGGACTCTCCTTCGCGGTGGGTTGTTTCATGCCGTTGATAATTCCGTAGGCGTTGGTCGCATCCTGCCGCTGGCTCCTCCTGTCAGCGGGATGATTCGAGGTCACGGACTGGCTCTCGCGGACGTCGCCTCGCGCAGTGCCCTGCGGCCGGCAGAAGCCACTGCCCGCCTTCACGCTCTGGCTGCGCTTGAGGACGGGGGTGCCCGAGGTGTCCGAGGTGCCGCCGCCGCCCCTCAGGAAGTTCCTGGTGCTCTGGCTGAAGCTCCTTAACCCTGAGTTCTTCTGGTTCGTCTTAGCGACGTCCTTCCCTGTGGGCGTGGGCGCTACGCTGCCTCTCGAGATGAAGTCGGCTCTCCTACCGCTGGTGGGCCGCGGAGGCTTGTCTGGCGTGAAGGACACGGAGTTGCAGCTGTTCTGACTGATGGTGCTTCTGTTGCTGCTGCTGACGCTGTGGCGAACGCCGGCGTCGCGCTGGAAGAAGTACGAGTTGCCAGGGAGCAGGTGGCTGTCCCTCGAGCCGGCGTGCATCGACACGGCGGTCGAGGGCGGCGACCTGGCGCCAGCGCCGTCATGGCCGCCCCTCCGCGTGGCCGAGGCGAGCTGCAGGACGGGGGTGCTGACGGAGCCGCCGCCACGGGGGTGTCTGGAGGCCCCTCCGACCCCACTTACCAAAGGACTCAGCAAGTGGCTGGTGGAGTGGACCAGAACTGGGGTGCTGATGGAGGCAGCCCCGGGCGGGGGGTCCGCCTCCTCCTGCTCCTCTTGTCGCCGTCGTCGTCGCGATCCCTTCCCCCCTCCTACCCCCCTCCCCCTCCGCCCCCCGCGTCGCCGCCCGATCCTCGACGGAGTCTCAGCAGCCACTCCGGCACCTTCATCTAGGAGCGGGTCGCGCCGAGCGTCCTCGGAGGGCGCCAGGGGCATGCTCCTTCGCGTCCCCCTCAAGACGCGGCCACGGGAGAATGTCCGTCACGGGGCCAAATCCTATTCGCGCAGTGCCCAGCTCCTGGCGTGCCCTCAGGCCACATCACGCGCGCCCTCGCTCCTGCTGTCGGGGTTCCGGACATCGGGAGGCCCCGCCCACCGCGCATGATGGGCACCAATCCACTCGTCACGGAATCCGTCACCACCTGGCAGTGCTGTCTCAGTGCAGGAGGAGGAGCTCCCCCGCGCTCATTTCCGATCAGACGAAGCTCTCGCAAGCTGTCAACTATCGATGCTGAGTTTCTTATTGTTTATTTTTCTGTATAATTGTGGTTTAATAACATTTACTTAATATGAGCAAAATAAAAAAAGAATCTTGAAAGAGCACGAAACGAAATCACCATCGGTAACAAAAAATATCGACAAAGGAAGGGAACTGAAAAGAAAATGATAAATAAAGAAGACCACGAAGAAACAGAAAAAAACAAGTACAAAAAATAATTCCAAAGACACGAAAAGACAAAGAAAAAAGAGGAAAAATACAAATTAAAAGACAAAGCAAAACAAAAGCTTTCATCATCAGCTGACCCCCGCCCACACGCCTATCCCCCGCCACACGCCTCGTCTTCTCTCCTGAACGCCGCCCACAGCACTCGTCCCCCGCAAACCCAAATAACCAAAGCGAAAGTCAAAACACTGGATAAACGGCGGGAAAATAAACGTGGCGTCCTTTAGGTACTTGAGCTCATGACAGATTTAGAATAAGGACATTCTCACGGGTTCGTCTGCCTCCCCCCCCTCCTTCTCCCCCCACTCTCTTTCTCTCTCTCTCCCTCCCTCTCTGTCTGCCTGTCCCTCCTCTCTTCTCTCTGTCCCTCTTCCCGTCGAAGGAACCAAATCTAATTTTCGACAGAAACTAGACATATATTGCAATTAGTTAAATAATAACGAAACATTAATAATAACAATAATAGTAATGATGATGATAACAATAACTATAACAATGATGATAAAAACAACAATGAAACGCACAAAAACAAGTAATAATAGCAAATAATAAAAATATTACGATTAACAATAATAACAACCGATAACAACATCGTACCACAACCACAACATAAACACTAATCAGAACAACTACAAACCAATCACCCGGCTCAGCGAGGCAGTGCCACAACAACCAGGCCGACCAAGCAAAGAAGAAGAAGAAGAAGAAGAAGAAAGAAAAGAAGAAGAAGAAAGAAGAAGAAAGAAGAAGAAAAAGAAGAAGAAGATGAAGAAGAATGAAGATGATGATGATGATGATGATGAAGAAAAAGATGATGATGAGGACGAAGAAGAGGAAAAAGAAGAAGAATCCTAAACGCACCGTCAGGCTCTCGAACCCTCCAGTTCCCTTTCCCTCCCCTCTCGCCATGCCCCATGCCATATCGACAAGAGCTCTTTTACCCAACAAACAAGACCGCGCAGACAACGCACCGATGCCCAATAAGGCGGGGTCGCGGGCCCTTCGGAGGAGTGCCTACACAGCGCTGTCGTGGTCCGCGGGTGGCCCTTCTCCTGCCCGGGTCAGTGCCTCGCGCCGCTCAGGGCCACGTTCACTCGAGAAACTGTCGCGTTGGCAAGCGCTGAATGGGACGGTGGGAGGGGACCTCTCTCTTCTCTCTCTCTCTCTCTCTCTCTCTCTCTCTCATTTACTCTCCATACATACATTCATTCACGTATACATACATACATGCAAGCAGAATTACACCCACTCCGCTCGCACAGAAAGAGGAGAAAAGAGAAAGAGAGAGAGAGGGAGAGAGGGGGAGAGGGGGAGAGGGAGAGGGGAGAGAGAGGGAGAGAGGGAGAGAGAGAGGGAGAGGGAGAGAGGGGAGAGGGGAGAGAGGGAAAGAGGGAGAGGGAGAGGGGAGAGAGGGAGAGGAGAGGGGAGGGAGGAGGAGAGAGAGAGAGAGAGAGAGAGAGAGAGAGAGAGAGAGAGAGAGAGAGAGAGAGAGAGAGAGAGAGAGAGAGAGAGAGAGAGAGAGAGAGAGAGAGAGAGAGAGGAGGGAGAGAGAGAGAGAGATGAGAGTGGAGAGAGATGAGAGAGAGAGATGAGAGAGAGAGAGAGAGAATAGAAGAGAGAGAGAGAGAGAGATAGACGAGAAAAGGCGAGAACGAGAATAGAAATAATAGAAAAAAGAGAGAAGGCGTATATACGAGCTAAAGAGAGAAATAAAGAACAGAAGAGAGTAGAGAGAGGGTGTGAGCATAGGGAGAATCAGAGAGGGACTAAGAGAAAGGAAGATAGAAGAGAGAGGGACATGAGTGCTAGACAGAGAGAGAAAAGAAAAGGAAGAGAGAAAGAAGCAAAAGAAAAATACAATAAAAAAGAGACCAACTCGGAAACCCAGGACAAGAGCACCCTCCCCTTCCCAGCCCCGCCCCCCCCTTTCCAGCCCCGACGGCCCAATCAGAAGGCAGCTGCCCCGCGCTCCATAACAATGATAAACCATAAGCGACCACATCGGCGAGCGACATTTCTCCCGGCGCACACGACTCTCAAATTATCAATTACGACCTCGATTCTCTCTTAAGCTCCCTTGGGATTACGCCCTGGGGAACAGAGGGTGGCTGGTGGGTTAGTGGGATGGCTGGGTTAGTGGGCGGGGTGGGATGGGTGAAGGCGATACATTCCAGTGTTATCTAAATCATGTTGGTTGCCCCGTTGGCTAAAAAATGGGGAATATTGTTGAGTTCTATCTATGTCTCTCTTTTGGAGCCTTTTTTTTTTGGGGGGGGGGGATGTTTGTCTGCTCGCTGTGTTTATGTGTTGGTCTGTCTCTATTCTCTCGTCCTTCCTCTCCCCTATCCATCTGCGTCTTCCTCCCTCCCTTCTCTCCTTCTCCCTTCCTCCCTCTCCAGTTATTTCCTCTATTGTCATCGGGTCGCTACCATGGAGTGTGTGGTGCGGAGGGTAGGGCGAGAGGGGAAGGGGGGGAGAGAGGGCTAGGAGAAGGGGTACTACAGTATCCGAGCACCTGGCGCACAGGAGCCGCACATGCCACTCAAAACCCGCTTCGTATCGCCCCCCTCGCTACCTTTCCCCCTTCGGCGTCGCCACCTGCTGCAGGAGGCAGTAAACCACCCGCAGGACACGGCCTCCCCCCGCCTGAGGAATTCCAGGGCGCCCCAACCCCCCTCTCGTTCGCCCCTCCCGCCCTCGGTCCCCGAATCACGTGGGACCCGACCTTATACGCAGTCTCTTACGCCTCTCTCGCAGATTCTCACGCGTTCTCCATCTTTGGCATTAAAAGAAAGGGATATACAGAGAAGGGAAGAAAATGGGGGAGGGGGAGACTAGTGCCCCCCCCTTCCCACCCTCCCCAAAGCACAGAACATGTGTCCCGACGCAATGGCGTGTTTACACTACGAGATGTGTTTCGAGCGAAGGGTTTTAAACACTTGATTCCAAACACTTGACACACACTGCTCCGCACATGACACTGGCCAGGCAAGCTCTCTCGCCAAAGCACGCAGCACCGGTGACCAATCAATGACACAGCAGCGCCCGGGCATCACTCAATAACACCACGCGATATCGGAGGCGATTTTCCGCGTCCCCTTCTCCATCATAGCAACACGTCATTGCACGCCGCGCAAGGGTTCAATCACAAGGCGACGGGTGCGCGCGCGTGTGCACGTCCGACGTTACGTCACTGTCAAAAACGCTCACAAACGGCCGCCCTCTCAGTCAGCAGGACCCGAGCACGGCGAGTCCTGACCTCCCCTGGCGCTTGCTGACGACTGGTGAAGGGCGGAGAGATAGAGAGAGAGGAGGGAGGGCTCGTAAGGGGACGGGAGGGGGAGGGTCGCGGGTGCCCCTCCCCTGCCCCCTCACCCCAGGGCACCGAGGGGCACAGAACGCGCGTCGAGCCGCCGAGGGCCCCCGCTGCAGGTGCGGCGCGGGCGAGGGCCAGTGGCAGCGACCCGCGCCCACGAGCTCGGCGGAGAAGAAGGCACGGGCGGAGGTCATGAAACCAAGGGCTGGGATGGGGCAGGGGCAGGGAGGGCCAGGGGGGGGCCAACACTGGGCACCTTCTCCCACTATGAAATACACGAGAGAGAGAGGAGGGGGGCTTTCTGAAAGCCGCGCGGCCGCCTCCACGCTGGCCGTAGATGTCTCGAAGCACATGCCCCGCCTGCCCGCCTGCCCGCCTGCCCACCCTTCGCCGCCCACTGCAGAGTCCCGGACCCCACCGCCGCCGCCGCCCCTGCCGCACGCACGCAAAAACAGGACCTTAGAAACAAGGTCCCGCGAGAGCCAGAGTGCGGCGGCGGCGGCGTCTTCGCGGCAAACCGATGCCTTTAGAGCCGCGCGTCGCCGCTTCG